TCATCGGCATTTGCTAGCATGGGAAATCTAAATCAGCAGAAGCAGCTTGCTGTTCTCAGCATCTTCCTCGCTTCTTTGTCCTCTGAAGAGGTAATCTAGGTCTGCTGCACAGCAAGAGTCATGAAGAAGCAGCTACTGCCTGTGAGAACAGGCACAAGAAAGAGGTAATTGTGCGTTTAAGAGGACCAGACCTGTAATTTTTCAAGGTGGCGAATTTTGCACACACAGAGGAAAGGTTTCTACGATGATTTAAATGTTTTGATCGTGAATTACTTTCTGTAATTGTTCCAATACATTTCATGATTAAAATCAAACTCGCACTGAACCCTACTCTCCTCCCCTAAGAGCTGACAGCAGCGCGCTCAGCGCTGGAACACAGGCACAGCTGGCTGCAGTCTGCCCCCTCCCAGGGTAACCCCTGACCTGCAGTCCCACTTAGAGCGGAGAACTGAGAGAAGCTGGTTTGGAGGGCAGCAACCACGCACAGGTAGAGCTTACGGTGCAACCCGTCCAGCATGGAAGGGTCCGCGGTAGACACGGAGCTACAGCTGGTATTTCCACCACTGGCCCCCTGCAGAAGGGTCAGCAGGCTCTTCCCCGCTACAGGAGCGGTTTGGCGGAGCGCCCAACACAGCCACTCTATCAAAGAACAACTTTGGTTTAGTACAAAACTTTATTAATATCAGTACTATGAAATGATAAAAGTGAACATAGAGAATCTGAGCAGGCCTGGAGCCTGTCCACCCGCCAACCTCTGGGGCAGCAGCAGGGCCCCAGGCAGCCTTGTAAACAAACTAGAAAGAGCGAAACTTTTAACTGCAAGCACGCAACAGGCTAACCCCGAGGTCTTGACTGACGCTCGTTTCCAAGAAGCTGGCATACAGGAGAGGCTGGTGTGCCCTAGGCTGCCCAACCTACCCCATCGCCTTACCCCTGTGAAGGTTCTGCCTTTTCAGGGCATTAACCTTGTTCGCAAAGGGATGCTCAGCTCAGTTTGGCTGGAACAGGCTGGGGACCCTGTCATGAGCAGACTACAGGAGAAGGTAACTTCCGAGAAGTGATGATGCCGCTGTGGCAGGCTGGAAGCAGTAACTGGGAACGTCTCTGAAATGCCTCGGAAAACAGGTGGTAACTCCACTTGGAGGAGGAGCTGAACACTAACACAAGTTTCTGGAAGGGAAGGCAAAGGGAATCAAGGAGGCAAGATCAGATCCAGGGAGGAAGGACAAAGTAGAAGTCTGATGCCCTGCACAGCTTATACTGCCCATTGCCAACCCTGAATTTGTACCCTGTGATCCAGAAAGGATCAAAATACTAAATCAGTTCTCTAGATCCTTCCCTTTCCGCTTCTCTCCCTGTGATTTAGAATCGCTGGGTTTTGTTCTCCTCTCCTCCACCTCCCAAGACGTTACGTTAGCTTTGAGTTTGCTTGTCCTGGGGGTTGCTTGCCTCTGCGCTCCAAGTCTGGACAGACTCCGGCTTCTAATCCCCTGTTCTGTCACGGCTTTCAAAACATGTACTTGCTTGTTGGCCACCAGCTCCTCCCGGCTCCAGATCAGAATATTAAAGCCTGAGAGGAAAAATTAAACACCGTGCATCAGAAACTTTGCATCAAATACTTTAGGCTATGCCACTTAAATGCCAGAAATTCTAAATGCTTCATCTGTTGCAAGATCTTCCCAAGGTGCAGAGGACACAAGGATACTTACTGCAGATGCTACCTCCACACAGCCAGGGAAATTTGATCTAATTAAGAAACATAATCAAGTAATTCCTAATCTCACCTGTCACAGGTCTAAGACCTAAATCTATAGCTAGCTCCCTTAATCCCGTACAGCCTGCGAAAAAAACCGAGTAATCTTGGCTCTGCAGCCTAGGAAATGAGGTAAATTAGGTGAAGGGGGAGGGTACAGCCTACCAGGCAAAGGCTTCCCCCTCCCACCACCGCAGGCAGCTGATGGCAGCGGCTGCTTGCTGGGGGGGGTGGCTTCTCACCCCTCCAGGCTCTGTGGTCCCCGAACGACACACAGGAGAGGACTAGCAACCGGTTTTCTAACTGCAAAGGTGGTCTTGACCTCTTTTACAGCTGTAGGACATTACAGAGGACTGCTAGCAAGCGGGATTTGGGAAACCTTCACAACCTGCTTTAGTCTGGAGAAACAAGACTGTCCTTTTCTGGGACCAGAACCACCCCCCACCATGCTTGGTGCCCAGGTTCCCTTTGCTTACCCATGCCAGAAGCCAGCGTGTCTCCCATAGGGTTAAATTTATTGAGCTGAAAATGGAAACACAATCAGAGTCTGCAAGAGCATCGCTGCTTATACAAGAGTCATAAGAGTATCACGGCTTACGTAACGGCAACAAACCATCCGGGAAAACCAATGTTCCCTAAATAGCATCACAGAAAACCCACAGATGACCACAGACCAGCCCTGCTCGAGTCAGGGGCTTCAGCCCACAGCCATACCCCCACGACAGCGCGAGTCTGTTGCAAAAAAAGAGGATATCCCTACTGTTCTGGCCCCTAACCCCTACCTCTTGGCTGCGGTTCAGTACACAGCCGTCCTTTCGCTGCAGCGCTCTACTCACCGAGATGATACCAGACGCATTTGGATCATAGAGCTGACAAACCATCTCCCCGGTGTTTCCATCGAAGACATCAACAGTTCGCAGCTCGTCCACCGTGTACCCTGGGAACCTGGGGTCGGGGTAGCGACCTGCTACAATGAGGTCATAGCGAGGGTGCCATGTTGCCTAATCACAGAGCAGAGTGACGGGGAGTTAAGAGAAACAGACAAGCTCATGCTGACATCAGACCCTTTCTGATGCACGGCCAGCTGCCGTACGTGATACTAGCGTGAGACTCCTCTGCAGCTTCGCTGGCTTAACTCACCTTAATAGGTGTGAGGTGCTGAAACTGCCGATGCGGATGTGGGATCAGATGCTGCGGCTTGCTCCAGTCCGAGGATGAGTAAACCCTGATTTCGCTGCGCTGGTCTGTGCTCAGGAGCTTGGCGCCATCCATTGGGCTGAAGTAAGCTGGGAGGGGGGGACAGGAAGGCAAACAAAAGATCACAGTGCTGCAACTGACAAGAACAAATTAAAAGTCCAATTTCTCTGATTGGAAACCCATTGCCATTTCCTTAATCGTGATGTGAATATGGCAGTGTGTCCCAACAGACAAGACTTGACCTGTCTCAAACAAACTCAGAGCTCTTACAATCAGTAAGCTGAAACCTACAGTACTGGGTTCCATTGGAAGAATGGTTATTCTCATTTTAGAATCACAAAGACACTGCAAAGAAAGGAACTTGCTCGCTGAAATGGAAAGTTAGTGGAAAAGCCAGAGAGTCCACCGGCAGTTTGGACTTCCACGCACGGGTAAAACTGCACCCAAGAAACAGAGGTTTGAGTCCCATGCTCTGCTTTTGTCAGAGGAACTGCCCCAATAAATTGTTTTCTAATCTCAGAGCCGATGCTTCCACACTCACCTCTCGAGGCACAGTGCCACATGGCAACTGTAAGACTCTGCTGCAGCTGCCCTACGCACCTCCCTGCCTCTGGGCACACATTCCCAACGCCTTCCTGGCTTTAACACTAGCTACTGTGCGACTTGGAATCTCAGCAACAGCTAACACTGCCACGACGATAAAAGCTGAGCAGACTCTGCAAGCGTCCACGCAATGAAACCCTTAACTCACCTGCACTGACGGGTTTGTTGTGAGGAAGCAGATATAGAAAATTCGTGCTGCTTTTGACGTTTCTGAGGTCCCAGATTTTGACTGACTGATCCACAGACGCCGTGGCCAACAGCCACTCACATCGGGAGTTAAACTCCACATGAGTCACTTTCTTCTTGTGCAACTTCAGCTTCCAAATCTGCAGCAAAGCAAACAGAAAAATCACACACTGGAAAACAATCAAGGTCCGGAGTAAAGAAATGGAATCGTAATCTACTAGTGCAGAGCAAAGAGGCCACACATTTACACAGTAACTAAACCTCCAAAATACACCAAGAATTTATCCACTGGGCACAATAAAAGGAGAAGCGTGACCTTGGGAACTAACTATTTAATTCTAGGAGAACTCTGATCCCCCAATTTATTACAGCTCTGAGAAAGGAAAAGGCAATCCCTGGTCCATGGAGGGAAGCATTAGTGCCACTGCACAAAGCAAGATGACATTTTTGATACTTTATGCAGTGCCAGTCTTCCACCTGCAGAAAGATTAAACCAAACTGGAACGGGCACAGAAAATGCTCTGCCAAGAGAGCGGTAAGAAGGAAGGGCCTGCTCTGTGGGAGAAGACCGAAACAGCTTGCTGTGTTTAGTTTAGTAAAAAAGGTGATAGGAGGTACAATTGGCTTCTAGAAATACATCGGCAAAGAAACACGAGGGTGGGAGCAATATTTCCATTAACAACAACAAATGGATATAAACTGGCCATGAATGAATTTATATCCACAGCCGGAAGATGATTTCTGATCTAAAGAGTGAAGCTGGCCCACCCTCCCTACAATAACGGGGGGGTATCTCCCAAGTGCAGAACAGACTGTCACATTCTTTTCAGGACTGAAAAAGGAAAGGAAGCAACGAACCTTGCCTGAGCACAAATCATTTGGAGTGCTCCTGACTCTGCCCACTAATTTACACAGCTGCCTCTGGCCTCGGCTCACTGGGTGGCACACTCTGACAGAAGTCACCCCTTCGGGCAGGAGAACCGGTAACCCCGGCGGGGGGGGCACAGCAGGCCCACTCCAACGGCTCTCCGATGCCTTTCCGTGCCGCTCCAGCCTCGCAGGCGCAGTCTGCCCCTGCCCGCCCTCTCGTGTCTAACGGCTGCAGTGCAATTTCTAGCCCAAGGTCCGCTAAATTCCTGTTGGACACCCACTCCGAGGTCATGGAAGGGTACACATACATCAAAGCAGTAGCTCCTAAATGACTCCCATCAGCGCACTAAAGTTTCTGGAGCTGTGAAGGTCGTTGGCAGGGGGTGCTCACATCTTCAGGTTACCCTATGATTAGTCAGGCCACTAGCAAATACTCAGGGAAGGGGTAGCACATGACAGCCCCTGTTTGGGAATGGTTACAATCATTACCCTTACAATCAACAATGTGAAAACGTCTCACTAAGGGCAGAAGTGGAGGACTTCTCACTACCTACACAACGGGTGGAGCTGCAGGGTACTTGCTCCTCTCTTCATGGTCCCTGCCCTGTAGGAAAGCACGTGAGCCAGGACGGTTCCCGCAGGGGAGAGGCTGTAGGGAGCCATACAAACCTCTTTGCCGGAAGTGCTGAGCAGGACCACGTTGCCCATGTTATCCCCCGTCACCACCGCCCGGCTGCTTGCAGAAACATCAACGCTGCAGTACCAGCAACTAGAGGGAAAGACACTACCAGGTCAGTGCTGCCTCCCGCGGGCAAGGGAAGGCAGCAGAGCTCTGGTTCACCTCTCGGCCCCCGCAAGGAAGACTGCAACAGGTTGTAAATGCAATCCCCTGCCTGACGGTGTGGGCCCGAGTATCCGGATGGGGGACAGGTTATCAGCCATGCTTCCTGTTGGTGACTGAATAAGAAATGACTTCCTCCTCAGCTGTGAAGTGCTCATTAGATGGAGCGTGACACGCTGAGCCGGTGGAACGTACCAGAGGCCAAAAAGCCACTTGGTGCCTGCACACAGACACCCCTTGGGAAATCAGAACACCCTTACGACACGGACAAATGCAAAGAAACAGCTTTAAAATGACGTTTTCCACAAAACACCGAAGCAGCAGTGAAGAAAAGACAAAAGCTCTGGACTGGAAAGTTGCAACTCAAACTGTCTCAACTTCATGCTCCAGGAAACACAGCTGAATCAAGACTTATCTGATAAAGCCTTAACCCCAGCTCTGCTGGGAGGGGAAGGGCAGCGAGAATAAGGCTGGCATCTTTGGGGAACTTTTTGGGAAAGCTTCCCTTGCAGAGATAAATTATTTTAGAATTCAGGGTCATGGAATTCGCATGGTGAGCCTCAAGCCTCCAGAAGGGCAGCAGGGTAAACTCAGTAACCTGAAACTCAGATTGTGCAGGAATGTTTTTTGGCCTTCCTATGCTACCTGAGCTGCTACAGGCAAAACACACAGAACACCCAGGACAAGGAAGAGAAGGAAGTTATCCTGTTCTTCTCACCTCACACTGCGTGAAGTGAAAAGGTGTCAGGGTCTGCAAGACAGGAAACAGCATCACCAGAAAGCAACACCAGAAGATGCAGGCCACACACTAAGCTTCGGTAAGAGACTAAGTCCCTGTGGCTGCCTAGCTTGTCACCCACCCTGCAGTGCCAGAGCCGCGAGCAGGAGCCTGTGTCCAAGCTTCCTCACCAGACCAACTCGCACCAAGTGCCTCCTAACGCTGGCGAAGATGAAGATGTTAGAGAGCAAAAAGAAGCAGCACAGCATTAATGCCAAGAACAGAGAGTCAACCTCGCGCTGCTCCCTTCTCACCAGACGTTATGGTACTCATGGCCACAGTCCGGGGCACAGGAGATCACCTGCACCGCTCTGCCCTCAAGGTCCTGCAGACTTAGGGTGCCATCCCCTGATGCCACATAAAGCTTGACTGCCTCATAAGGACTGAACTTGATGTCTCCGAGAGAATCTCCTGGCCCTTTCTGCAATACACACAAAGCCAAGAGGCATCAAGGTTAGAGTGGAAAAATAAATCTTAATACAGGCATCTCCTGGAACACGCTGCCAGTTTCTGTAGGTACAACACACTGCTTTCTGACAGGGCACGTACAGAAGAAATCTGGTTTTCCAATCTATTTCCCATCTGAGCACATATATTCTGAGCCTGTAAGTTCAATCCCACCACTCTGGGCTGCAAACCTCATTGGCAGCATTGCTTCTTCTGCTAAGGGGGCAGGACTAAGCTGCAGTGAACCACCTGCCTCAGACCAGGCTTAGGAGATCACGAGCAAAACCAGCACCATGGCATGCAGAAACCACATCAAATCTCATGACAGCCCTGCACCAAGCTTTTCTTACAGAGACCTCGTTCGCCAATCCCCTACAGCCTGTTTCCAGTGCTCTATCTGCTCTGTCTCAAAGTACCAGCAGGCAGGGTGAGAGCAGTGCAAGGAGAAATCCTACTGCTAACCCCATGGCACAGGAATCTTATGGTCTGTGTTATGTCACACTGTTGTTTTGTTACCATGTTTTCCCCTAGTCTGTCTGCTGAGGACATACGGAAACCCGACACAAAGGCAGACAAGAAGGATGCTAGCTGGGGTCCCCAAACTCTGTGATACTCAAGTGCACTCCATCTCCTGCTCACAGAGAAACTACGTAATAGTCTCACTGTAACTACCAGATTTCAAGAAGCCCATGGAGATGAAAAAGGCCTGCCCACAGAGCTTGCCTGTCCTCGCAACGGTACAAGGAGGTTGGCATTCCCTTTCAAATCCAAGCATCGCTGCTGTGACAGGCATCCCACCGGGGTATAAGATCCTCATGTCCCAGGACCCAGCCTATCCCCCCTGCTCACCAAGACAGTCATCCCAGCACCGCTTGGGTTCACTTTCTGCCCTATTACAAGGCTTCAGTGAACAGCCAGTTTGGAAATCAACCATGAAAGAAAGTTGCCACCCAGAAAGAATCAGACGGGGAAAAGTAAGGAGGAGGCTAACCCAAATTCCCTCACTTACCTTTAAGCACTGAACTGAAGTAACTAATTGAAGAGCTCAGGGTTCTTCATGAGTCCACAGAAAAGCAACAGTCTGAGAGGGTGACTCTAAGCACAGGCAGGCAGAGTAGCCCCTAGCAATTCATCTCCTCTTTCCACTCATTACTGAAGGACCCCAGACTCTTAATTTTGGTATTTCAGATAAGCACCAAAAGTTCGGTGGGATGAACTGGGGTGATCCTTATGACACACACCACCTGAAGTCAGTGGCGTTTGTGAAGAAGCACTGAGGGGACTATAAACTGTCCTGCAAAAACCATCTGACAATGAGCAGCACTGCTAGCAGGTAAAGAGGTTAGGAGGGCACAGAGCTATAGGAGGTTTAAGAACAGACAGCTGAGGGAATCCACTGGCACCCCCCTGCTCTCCCATATCCAACAGGAAGTAAGCAGCACCAGAAGAGTCCCTCCCCTTCATGAAGAAAAGCTCTGTCCTACCCACCACCCCGTTGCGGGGAAAAATAAAAAGGGAGAGTGAGCCCCCCTGGAAGAGAGGATCCCTGAAATTTAGAGGATAAAGGACACATATGTGGAGAAGAGAAACCCCCGCTCCCACATATCAGAGACAAACATCTCTCTCCCTCTCTCTCTCCCCCCTGCCAGCAGGACAGAGGCCCAAAGCATTGCTGTATTTCTTACTCCCAGTCCTCGGTGCTGGTGAAGACCCGGACAGTACTGCCATTAAAATCCTGCAGGGTGGTAGTGCCGGCAACTGACGAAGTGTACAGCTGACTAGGGTTAAAAGGGTTAAACTTCATTCCTGTGATGGCCCCTCCAGCTCCCATCTACAAGGAAGGGGATGAACAAAAGAAAAATCCACTGAGTGATGGGGAAGGAGAAAAGCGTGTTCTCTAAGTCTGCATTCACTGCTATGTCCTTAACAGCAACAGTGAAACACACTGCAGCCCTTCAAGGAGGCAAAGACAACCACGTCTTCCCACACGACGGCTGGCTAGAGAGCTGCCATCCTGAGGGATAAAACTGCCACTCCTGCCATCCCCAGGCATGTATTCTCTTTCCAAGAAGAGAAAGGTGCCTCTGGAATTGCTGGAGGACAGACCTCCTCCCAGTGTATACCTATGTGAATTTAGGAAGGGGACTAAAGTTAGAGTCTTTGAGTCCCTGTCGCGATGGGAATAGCTGAATACAGCACGGAGGGGGCAGGCCAGCTCCATAAACCATCCGTTCGGCCTTAGTTTCTCTCTTTAGGTACAGGGACTTTGTTTCTCCCCACCCAAAGAAGTTTCCTCATCTGATACAGAATAAAAGGTGAGCAGAGAAAGACCAAGACCTAAACCAGACAAACCCTCTCTGCCTATTTGTTTCTGGCATCCCTTTTAGGTTAACTCTTTTCCCAATTGCTGAATTATTTTTCCACTGAGGACACACCAAGTACCGCTCTGTTATGTACTTAACAAGCCTCAGTCCTCCCCAGTGCTTCAACAGCCTGGGACTTCGGAACAGATGTGCTGTTGCACCTCAGCCCCACAGCTGGCTACTCTGCACCCTGAGACCCTTACGTGCTTCTCGCACCAGACCTCCTTTTGGATGGGCAGTATCTGGTGGTGCTCCACTCTCCCCTCCCACCCCGCCCACACACCCAGAGGCTTACCCCTTGTATGAAGCAGGTTTTACTAAGTACTTGATAGTCCCACAGGATGATGTCTCCACCTTTGGAACCAACGGCTACAGTACTGGGGTGTGTTGGATGCCATTCCAGGCATGTCACTCTCCTGTCAAAGGGACTTGCTGTTTGAAAGCAGCGGTATGAGGCAAGAGAACGCAGAAAGGGCAGCTTCAGATGCTGTTAAAGAGAGAATTATGACTTTTGAGGGATCCACGGGATTCTCTGGCTGAGGAGTGCTAACAATTTCTAATTGCCACCAGTGTTAGTACACTCACACAGAATTCTAAGCCTCATTGAAGAGAGCATGCTGTCCCCAAGGGAAACAGCCCGTGACCACACAAATCCACATCAGCCACAGCACTCAGAAAGCAATAGAGAAGTGAGAGATACCATACTTTAAATGATGTATGGGGAGTTAAGCCTCATGGGCTGAGCTAAAAAGGCAGGATAATTAACATTAACAAGGAGGCAGAATCACAGGATGGTTTGGGTTGGAAGGGACCTCAAAGACCATCTAGCTCCAACCCCCCTGCCATGGGCAGGGACACCTTCCACTAGACCACGTTGCTCAAAGCCTCATCCAGCCTGGCCTTGAACACTCACAGGGATGGGGCATCCACAGCTTATCTCAACAACATGCCTCCACACCAGGAAAACGCACTTACGATTGACTGTGTCTGTACTGAGCATCCCAAAACGTTACACATCAGCCAGTTATACAATATTATGGTCCTCTAGCCAAATTGACTGCAGCTCAACTATTCAGCGTAAGAGCAAACAGAACACTCGAAATAGGAATGAGAAACCATGAGCTGATTGTATTGTTATTCAGCTGAGGAACAGGCACTGCTTGGACAAGGTTGGTGATTTCTTTATCGTTTGGATACTTCAAATAGATAAATGATATGGAAGAGAAAAGCTAGCCCAGGTGCTTCCCAACTCTGGATGTTACAGAAAAAGTTAATTTTCAAATGAAAGGAGTATGGCTCTGAAAACAGTAAAACATTAGGGACTTGATGGAATATGTCTGTGAAGAGGAAAAATCAGCACTCAACCTCACAGGATTAGCAAAGCAGAATGGATACAAAAATAGCATGACAAAGCAGCAGATTAATGTGCAAAAGTAGCACTGTGCAGTAACTCAGGTGCCAGTGGGTAAGTTTAAATATGATTCAAGGAAGCACAGAATGAACAGAGGGATAAAATGCAGAGTGACAGGGCCAGGTCAACTGAAAGGGAAAGCCATCTCAGCTCGTGAATTTTACAGGTTTAAGAAACATTAGGGTGCGCCAAACTCGGAGCCCCAAACTGTGTATGAGAGGAAGTTTAAGCCCATTTAAAGTTCCTCTGCGTGCGTTCAAGATGGTTTTATGTAGAGCCGAGATGTCCAACAGCTCATGAAGGAGAAACTCCTCACCTGCCTGAGCTGTGCCTGAATGGAGGCTCCCAGCATGTTCTGGTAGACATAATGAACAATGCTGCGCTGCCGCTCCAGCTGATGGAATGGGACTCTGCTGTTTCTCACCAGGGACCCACCTCCACTCCAACCTGCCAGGGAAGGAAAGAGTAAAACTTACTGAGAGCCAACACCCCTCACACTCGTTCAATGAAACACACGGGAAGAGGTCTGCATTTGCAGCTAAATCCACAAAAAGCTTCAGCCACAAGGGACAAGCCTCTCGATGTTTCTGACATTTCTAAGGTGCAGCAGCCTCTGCAATTACGCAGTCCCGTGTTTCCCACAGCCTGCCAGAGCTTTGTGCGTGCTTCCTTCTTGATAAACCCCCTTCTCCTTGCCAAAGGTTTCTCAAAAAGAAAACAGGAGAGGACAGAAGCAAAGCTCCAGGTGGTGCATCTCCTGGACAGTAGACAACTTGAACAGTTCATACTCAAAGCACAATGAAGCCATCCAACACCCCAACCACTTGGAAATACGCCACGGGAGGTGGTAAGCCCCAGGGTACAGCAAAGGGAAGGTCAGTCGTGTGACCGGCAGAAACGTTACCCCCTGAAAATTCCCCAAGCATAGCAATGTGAGTTCCCACACCGTTCCCGAAATCCCTGCTTGTGAATCAGAATTTTCGATCTGCTTGTGCTGTAGCCCATACAGCCTGCATACGGCACTGCGAGTTTTGGTGTTGATAATAGACTTGCTGACGCCTCGCCGCCTGATAACCTTTCTGTTCAGAGGGATTTTTGCTGAGAGTACAGCATGCTTCTACATTTTGCTCATGTTCCAAGGTTTTCTCTTCAGGGACCTTTACATGAAAAATGGATCTGTTCAATGCCGCGATCTAATCATCCCCACAGCAATGGTCTGTGACACCCCCAGGGAACCCAGACGTCAAACGGGATAGAAGCATTTCTTAAGAAACATAAATGCTATTTTAATTTAAGGAGAATTACATAAGAAGAACCCCAAAAGACTGAAAACATAGGGATCATTCTACATGATTAGAACCTAACCAAAAACCTTTCTTTAATGCAACATTGGAGCCTAGAAACGCATGGGTGTGAAACTAAATCTCTTTGTTCACATGCCAGTATAGTGCCAGCACTTGTCACACCTGCTGAAATAGGCTAAAAAGTATTTATATTCTATTTCCTTTTTTCCACAGGAGAATTAGCATCCACAGTTCCTTCTTCAGAGAGGATGGAAACAGAGGTATTTTTCCCAAACTCCGTTTTATTACACAGGATAATTTGTTAAGAAACAAGGCCTTTTTAGAATCTGCTGGAAGAAACCTTTTAAAAAGGTGTCTCAATTGCAAGAAACTGAACCTGCCCTCTATGGACTGGGAGATTCTTTTGGTTTGTTTTCCAAACCAAATAAAAATCAGAACTGGAACACGGAATGGAAAAGCTCAAATACAAAGGTCTTCATCTTATTTAAAAAAGGATTAAGGGAAGAATATGACTGGTTTCATTTTTCCAAAATACCAGCTACATCCAATTCCCTCTGAATCTTAGAGGAACTGCAGATGCTCAGCAAATCTGAGTGTCAGGCCATGAAGTTACAATGAAAATCATGTAGCTAAATTAATTACAGAAGATGCTTTAACTACCCGTAATTATACACAGAAATCCTTACAAACAGTTATTTTGCCTCTATGTCACACTGCCAACTGCTCCAAGTTTGGAGTTATACACCTGACACTGCAAATGTACAACATCGTAGAACCGCTGTATCAGACTGTTGAAAAACACTTCAGTAATTTCTGGATCCTTAAAGCCAAAATTGTACAGGAAGTACGTAGTATTTCCACAGAAGGCAGTAACTTGCGATCTCCTAAACAAATAATCAAATTAAAGGCTTTATCTGAGAAAAGGAGGTTCAGGGGAGACCTCATTGCTCTCTACAACTACCTGAAAGAGGTTGTAGTGAGGTTGGTGTTGATCTCTTTTCCCAGGTTCACAATTGACTAGAACAAGAGGAAACACGAGGCCTCAAGTTGTTCCAGGTGAGGTTCAGACTGGATATTAGGAAAAGTTTCTTCACCTAAAGGGTTGTCAAGCACTGGATTGGGCTGCCAGGGAAGCAGATGAGTCACCATCCCTGGAGGTATTTAGAAACGTAGGTGTGGTGCTTAGGCACATGGTTTACTGGTGGACTGGGTAGTGTTAGGTTAATGGTTGGACCTGATGATCTTAGAGGTCTTTTCCAACCTAAAAGATTCTATGAAAATAGTCCTTACTGTAGCTGAAGTCTACACGATTTTCTCGATAATGCAAAGCATTAACTTTTCCAGCATCTTAGAACATAATCCCCTCTCCTCATTATATCAAAAATCTCTAAAAATTTTTTTTAGTCACTTAATAACAGAAAAATGCACATGAAGAGAAGTGGTCAGTGGAAATTCTCTCCAGTCTAATCTGAACATACAGGTAGAAAGTATCCCTACTTACTGCAGCAGAAGTTAGAATATGCAAAGAATCGGGTAGAAATGCCAGTTTACACCGCACGCTGTAGGATGCCAACCTTACAACTATGAAACTGCATTGAGAACTGCAAGGGAGAAAAAACAGTGTACTGCCAAGATTGGTCTGTCCAACAACAAAGCAGATGTCCGGTAATTCAGGAATTCCACAAAACCTGACCACCCTCAAATGAGCTGTGACACCATCTTCAGCGAGCAGGCTTCTACCAAGGGGTACGGAGTCTCAAAAATACAACACGTGTGCACACACTCACTAAACAGGTAACTGGAGGATGTACTACCCCGATACATATTGGAGTACTAATATATAACCCTTCCTGAACACTCGTGTCTGAACTCGCTTCTTGGCTTTCTCCCTCTTCAACTAGTCAGTGCCTGTCATTCAGGGTAAATCTGGGTGGAAGAAACAGTAAGGATCTGAGAAAACATTACCGATTTTCTCGAGGGGGTTGGATGTTTTTCTCACAAACAACTTCTTCGCTAGTGGTTCATTCCCTGGTTCCCTGTAGCCCGGTTTACTCTTGCCAGCTGATTTTGCCTCTTCGGGCCGATGCTCGTGCGCCCTCTTCTCATGCTTCTTGTCCTTTGGCTGGTTCACTGGAACCATTCTGTCTGACCACTAAAAGCAAACAAAGCATGGCAGGTAAGACTGTCATACACATTTAACTGGAAGACAGAGAGGAAAACTGGAATGAAACCTATCCCAGTGGTCTGAAAGCGGTTATTATACCTGTAACCTCTTTTGAAAATCAGGATGACACTAGCTTTTTGTTGTGCTCTGCCGAAGAGGGGAACAAGTTCAATAAACTCTTCTTTGTTCACGGATGAAAATGCACATATCCTAAAGCATTAATGTGTTTTGACAGATGTGCTTCTGCTGAACGTTTAAGCTTAAAACCCACAGATCTGAACAAAGCACATCTGTGAAACCACAGAATACCCTGTTTCTCCAGCAGCTCACGCTGAGCTCTTCAGATTCTGCTACAAAAAAGGTCAGAGCTTATGACGATGGCCAGGGCCGGCCTGTCTTCCACCAAACACGCTCCAAAGACACTTCCCGTGTACCGGCCACTCTTCCTCACAACCGGTGTGTGGAGCAGGCCCCTGCACTGGGGTCAGACCCGCCG